ATGAGTGCATGTCAAGGTGGTGAAATCTGAATAAATTCTACGGATTGTACCATGTCAATTTCCTGCTTTTGATATTATACTACAGTTATGTACAATGCTACTACTGAGGGAAACTAGGTGGAACCTCTCTGTACTAATTTTTCAAATTCCTGTGAATCTACAATTATTTCAAAATGAAAAAATACTATTGTGTTAAGTGGAATTTTAGTGCAAGAATGTCTGTTGGATTTTCTATTTATTTTCCATTTCTAGAAATTTCCTACTTTTCCTCAGGATTCTGGTGAAAGCTGTTATGTTCTTAGTCTAAGCAGCCTCAAACCTACATGGCAGTCAATTAGTCCAGGGGTGGGCATCTGTCCTAATGCGGACCAGTTAGAGTCTTTTCCGGAATATGGTATTTGGATTAGACTAAGAGAGACATTTTTCTTTATATGTCTGGACTATAACTTTTAAACTCAAGAGCTTCCAGGCTGTTCTTTTCCATGATGTGGTCAGGGGAAGTGGAAGAGCCTGGTCTACAGAGAGGAGGTGGGATGAAGCAGATGTACAAAGAGAGGGGGAGGCCAGAGGGGAGTGCTTTGGACACTTGTCTTCCTGGTTCCTTATATGCAGATGATTTTCTGTCCTTGCGTTCTGTGAGATGCTTCTATACCTTTATAATAAATTTTCCTTCTTATCTACATAAGGTCCATTTGGATTTCTATTGCTTGCAACCCTAAAGAATCCTAACCAATACACTTAGGAAGATGAAACAAGGCTTACCCTTAGAGTACTTTTTTTTCTTTTAATTGAAGAAGTTTGACTTTGTAGCATCTGAGATAAAGATTTCCACTTCTCCAAGGTACAACTGCACAGGATGTACTGAAGATCATTTAACCACCCACCTCATTTTCAGGGGAGAAAACTGAAGCCAGAGAGGTTATGAGACTCAGCCAAAGTCATACAGCCAGTTTCTGGAGGATCCAGAACCACCACCGCCTCACCTCCCTCACTTCCGTATTACATAGTATGTCCTGGAGGAAAGCACCAGAATGTTTCACTCAGGGTTTTATTTGCTTGTTTTTAGTGTATTGGCGGCATAACTAATGAATCAGAACATAATTAACAAGGACTTGCTTGAAAGGTCAAATGAATAAGGAATAGAGAATACTGATATAAATAAGAGTTATAATTACAAGTGCTTACTACTAAAAAAGCTTTAACTTTTATCATTATTAGTCATAGAGATACTCCATTTGTCACTTAGAACAGATACACACAGTCTTCTGACAGTCAAAGGAAACATAATTTCAGGACAGATTACTCAAACATTTTAATTCAAATAGTGAGTGTCTGGAATTGAGGAAAAATTTTAAGACTCTATTAAACAGGATGTCAATACTCATTTTGACGTAAACTTCCTGAGAGGAGGAGGTTTGCTCTGAAACTTCCTGCTTGGTCATAAAGAGGAACGAGGCAATTGGAACACATTAGTCTTTCTCTCTCAATCTGCTCCAATGTGGTTGATTAAAAATGCTGATTTCGGTTTACTGTTAAAAAGCACAAGTAGTCAAAGCATAGCATTGTGTTGACTGTCTTTTGAGAGGCACCTGCAAGGTGAGAAAGAAGTATTATCCAGTTTTAAATAAAGAGAAGTTTGATAAACACGTGACTTGCTGGAAAGCAAAGCACAGAACAGAAAAAGTGTCATTTGCAGCTTTCAGTTTTATGTTCCCTTAATGGAAGTAGCTGCTCTTACCACGGCTAGCAGCTTAACGTTGTAGCTGTCTACTTTTTGATGGAAGTTCTCTGCCACTGTAGCTGTACCCCAGCTCTCTGTGGTGGGGCTGTGGACGATAACGCAGTCCTGTGTCATGTACACATGTAACTCTCCCTACTCTTGTTCTCCCCTAAGCCTATGTAGTGTCTTATTTATTTATTTAGTAATTTCTTCTGTAGAAGGGCATTTTATTTTATTTTAAAGATTTTATTTTTAAGTGACCACTACCCAACATGGGGCTCGAACTCACAACCCTGAGATCAAGAGTCACATGCTCCACTGACTGAGCCAGCCAGGTGCCCAGGAAAGGGGCATTTTATTTGTTTTTAATATTTAAAAAATGTTTATTTTTGAAAGGGAGAGAAAGAGAGACAGAGCACTTAAAATTTTTTTTTAATGTTTCATATATTTTTGAGACAGAGACAGAGAGAGGGGGGGGCGTTAGCAGGGGAGGAGCAGAGAAGAGGGGGAGACACAGAATCCGAAGCAGCTCCAGGCTCTCAGCTGTCAGCACAGAGCCTGACACGGGGCTCAAACTCACGAACCATGAGGTCATGACCTGAGCTGAGGTTGGATGCTTAACCAACTGAGCCACCCACGCGCCCTGAAAAGGGGCATTTTAATACTGATTTCCCACAAGTACAGATCCCAGCTCTGTCACCACCTAGGTGCATATGCTGTTGTCCTCAGTGCTTTGTTTTGCTGCCAAGGCCTAAATCCAATAATTGGTCAGTCAATGATGCGGCATGCTGTTCCTTTGTGATTTCACTCCTAGCAACCCCGGGTGACCAAAGGCCATTCTTAGTCTGCAGATGTCTTTTGGCTCTATATGCTGGTTTGGCTTCCTGTCTCTCTCAGTAGGCCGAGAGTCTCTAACTCTCTATGACCACCTCCAAGAATGATGGCTGGAGGTCACTGGTCTTCATTCCCTGGAGCTGCGCTCTCCCAGAGAGAAGGCACTGGGTCATTCAGATGCTTCATACTGAAAAATTTTTGTGCTAGGGGGAAAGGAAAAACTTTTCTCACTAGATAGTTGCCAAAAAGTAAATAAGTAACTAAAAATAATAACTGCTTAAAAAAACAAGGAAGGAAGGAGCAAAAAGAAAAGAAAGAATTCCCAGATCCTTAACATTTTTTCTGGGGGAGGAGCCCTAACACTCTTCTGTTAGCTGGCATCCTGATGTTCCCACTCCTTTCTGGAACATTTTCTATTTCACCTTGGCATACAGCATTGCATCTTTGTAATATTGCTTTGCAAAGAAATGATCGAGCCTTTGGTATTAGTATTTGGCATAATATTAATTTATCCCCCCTACTCCCAAAGTCTCCATTACACACACTTCTACCTTGCAGCTCTGTCTAAAAGAAGGATAAATGTATTTAATTTAATTTAGCAAATACTTGTTAAATGGAGAGGTACCTTGAGAAAAATTGGAAGATCACAATCCTATAAATGTGAGACTCTGATAAACATCAGACATTGACAATTGATACTACAAAGATATAGACAATAAATAGGTACTCAGACAGTGAGGACAGAAGACTGATGACAAATGAAAATAATGGGACTTTAGAAAAGTAGAACTTTGTCTAAAATTACTGTACTTTTCTTTGATGACAAAAGGAATACCAGCTTTTCATTCTTGAAAGTTTGAAGTATGCAAGGGGCACCTGGTGGCTCAGTTTTTTAGGCGTCTGACTTTGGCTCAGGTCATAATCTCGTAGTCCATGGGTTCGAGCCCCGCATCCATCTCTGGGCTGACAGTTCAGAGCCTGGAGCCTGCTTCGGATTCTGTGTCTCTCTCTCTCTCTGTCCTTCCCCTGCTCATGCTTTGTCTCACTTCACTCACTCTCTCAAAAATAAAATAAACATTAAAAAAAAAGTTTGAAATACATAGAAAAGCAGAAAGAAAGAAAAAAAGCCACCTTTGAGATAATCACTGTTTACATATCTTTAAACATTTTTATTTATGTATATATTTGTACACAGATGAGTAACTGGGATCTTATTCTATATAACACTCTGTGACCTCTCCTTTTTATTTTTGCATTTAAAATCCACTGTATAAATCTTGTTCAAAATACAGATTATAAGCGCTCAAGAAGCATTCTTGTTCTGATATAATGACCGAGGAGTAAAGATTTCAATAGTTTTCAGGCCTGAGGTAATTATTAAGAAATGTTGGTGTACAATTGTATGGCTTTTTAGGAAAGAGTCTTCTACTGATATCACTGAAGCGTTCTTCATTTCAACTACATCAACTAATATTCTCTACTTCTATCTATTGCTATTATAAAGATGCATCAGTATTTTAACAGATTCACACCACTTTTTCTTTAAAGACCAATTGGTATAACATTTTATTTATGAAATTCAAAATGTTCCTTAGTTATACAAAATGCAGAAGAATGAGGCCCTAAACACTGATTTCAAAGTAATGATATCAATGTTATAAATCAACCATGAAGAGCATCTCCATTTAGGTTTTATTCACAAATTGTATATTATGTTGTCGTTAATCTTCCACGGAAAATTAGATATGCATGAATCCCACCTAATGAAGAAGGGCATTTCATATCTTTCATGCAGAAACAACCAACCATGTGATTTCACATGCGTACAAGGAATAAATGGATTTCGTGAAGTGATTTGAGAGTAGAAATACATTAATATTTGCTAGTCACAAATCTCAAATAGGATCAGTGTAAACAAGCATGTATTAAAACTACCCCCTAAATCTTTTGAAGCATAATAGCATGTATATTATCTAAGAGCTTAACTTTGGATTGTTCCTTATATAAGTATTCTGATTTAGAGTAACGTCTAAAACAAGTGACTGGCTCACTGCTGTCTACTGTGAATTCTGTGACATTCATTGACATTTGATTTTCAATTAAATACTTTTCTACATTTTGTAACCTCATTTTTTAACCTAACAATACACTGTGAATATACACTCACATCCTGAAATATTCTCCTATTCCTGATTGTCATTTTAGAATATGGTTGCTCTGTACTTAATCTCTATTAGACATTTAGTTTGTTTCCAATGTTTAACCATTATAAACAACACTGTAGTGAACTATCATATGTAAATAATTTTGTAGATATCAGATTATTTTCTAAAGTTCCCAGTGATGGAACTGCTTAGGTAAGGTCTTTAAACATTTTAAGGCTTTTATGACACTACTATCAGCAACATATGAGGATCTCATATTCTGATGGGTAAAACTTTTCTAGGGGGTGACAATATTTCTTGTTTGAAGCTTGATTTGTGATGAAGATAAGAAAGTTATGTGACAGAGATTCTCCTCCCTGGCATGTTGTACCAGCGAAGAGACACAGTGCTCCATTCATTCTACCCTGTCTGATGGGAAAAGGTAAGTTTGTGTTTAAGACGATGTCACACCCTTGGCACATGAAGCACAATATGTAGATCAAAGAGAAGAAAGCTCTGGCACTTCTTATCTCCAGTATGCTCTTGCTAAATGCCATCCTTGCAATATTAAGCAGTCTACTGCAGGTGGACAGTATAGGTCTTTCTTACCTGAATTTTCTCCCCTTCAAAAGTGATAACTAATTTTGTTATTTTCAGTAAATATTCATGACCTGAGGGGTGCCTGTGTGGTCAGTTAAGCGCCCAATTTCGGCTCAGGTCATGATCTCACGGTTTGTGGGTTCGAGCCCCATGTCGGGCTCTGTGCTGACAGCTCAGAGCCTGGAGCCTGCTTCGCATTCTTTGTCTCCCTCTCTCTCTGACCCTCCCCTGCTCATGCTGCCTCTCTCTCAGAAATAAATAAAACATTAAAAAAGAAAATTAAAAAAAATTTTTTTTGAAAAAATATTCATGACCTGAAAGATCAGGTCTACTCAAAGAAATTTTCTTTTTGTACTTAATGGTAAACTATATAATTTTTATTAAATGAAAGAAAAAGAAAACCAAGTGGCATTAACTTTGATTTGAGTATAAACATGATGAGAGTTCATCCCTCCCTGTTTTAATGAGTATGGCATTAAGTGTCTATATCTTGATTTTTCATGCAGCGCAACCTATCATTGAGAGATTTCAAAGCTGTAATTTAAGATGTTGATTATATAACGTATAGATGTCATAAGTGTGTGGTTTAATCTGTTAAGACACACTTAGAGAAGGGAGCATGAATATATTATTGTCATATATTGATTACAAATCTGTATTAGGATATATATATAGTAATGTTTAGGTATACTATATATACTATTACATACATATAGGTATACTGTATAGTAAATAGTATAGCTATATAGTATACTATACTATGTTATATAGTATATATGTGTGTGTGTGTATGTGTGTGTGTGTGTGTGTGTGTGTGTGTGTGTGTACATCAGGTCATGATCCCAGGGTCTAGGAATCGACTCCCTTATCAGGCTCTGTGCTAAGTTTGGAGCCTAGTTAAGAATCTCTCTCTCCCTCTGCCCCTCTCCTCCACTTCTATGCTCTCTGTCTCTCTAAAATAAAAGTAAATAAATAAAAATAAATAAATAAAATATTAAAAAGAGAAAAATATTATCTAATTCAAAATTTCAGTTGGTAATTTATTTTACTTGCCCAGCATCCTCCACCTCCACTCCTCTCCCAGTTAAGATACACACCCCACAGAGGCACCTGTGTGGTCAGTCGGTTGAGCATCCGACTTCAGCTTAGGTCATGATCTCACGATTCTCGGGTTTGAGCCCTGTGTTGGGCTGGCTGCTGTCAGAACAAAGCCCGCTTTGGGTCCTCTGTTCCCTCTCTCTCTGCCCCTCCTCTGCTCAGGCTCTCTCTCAAAAATAAATAAACTTAAAAAAAAGATATACAGCCCACAAAGACTGTGACCTTGCCTATCTTGTTCACGGCTGCATACCTATCTTAAACAGTTCCAGATACGTAGTAAAAGGTCTATAAATATTTTCTGAATGAATGAAAAATACAGCCATAATTTAAAAAGAGTTAAAAAAAAAAACCAACAACCCACCAACATTACATTTATAAAAGACTATAAACAAAAATTCCAAAGGCATCCAGTTCTAAAACAAACCAGATTTGCCAACAGAGTTGCAAGTTTAATCTAATTCCAAACTTTAAAGTGGTAGCATGCATTACTGCTTCAATGAATGATGATGTTAATGGTAACAGTTAATTATAATACTCAGAGTACGTAACAAAAGCACAGTGGGGCTCATAATATCAGTGTCAAAAGTAGCCCTTGGGATTCTGACTGAATATTTGAGAAGGGGAAGAGATCAATCCATGTAGACAGGCGTTTAAACCTATGACAGATGAAAAAGGAGGTCACTGCAGGAGTAACTTGTTTTTTCTTATTGTTTGACTTCTCTTTAATTTTTGTTTCTTCACCTTTATCTTCCAAAGCAAAAGGACTAAAAGGCATCTGGGTGGCTCATTCTGTTGAGTACCTGACTCTTGATTTTGACTCAGGTCATGATTCCAGGGTTGTGGGATCAAGCCCCTCATTGGGCTGCATGCTGGGCATGGAGCCTGCTTAAGATTCTCTCTCTCCCTGCCCCTGCCTGCCTCCCTGTCAAAAATAAACCAAACAAAACAAAAGGATTAATTTTGGAGGGCCTGAGTAGCTGGAATTTTGGTAAATAAGTAACTTAAAAAATTTCAGGAGAACTAAAGTATGTTAAACTTAATGGAAGCTTAGAAAGCACATCTTTTTTCAGATGACTACCATATGCACCCTTTACGGCTTGACTTTTAAATGTCTTAAATGTCAGAAGAAGGCAGTAGTCTTGTTTGATTTTTTAACTGGGTTTTTATCATAAAATGTATCATGTATATCAAACAGCATATAAAAACTAGATGTAGATTTTAAAGAACTATAGAAAGACCAATGTATCCCTTAGTTTGAGAATAATTTTTTTAGAAGTTTATTTACTTATTTTGAGAGAGAGAGAGCATCTGTGTGCAGGAGGGAGGAGCAGAGAGAGAGAGGGAGAGAGAGAATCCTAAGCAGGCTCCTTGCTGTCAGCGAGGAGTCCACTTGGGGCTCAGTCTCACAAACTGTGAGATCATGACCTGAACCAAAATCAAGAATTGAATGCTTAACTGACTGAGCCACCTAGGCGCCCTGAGGATAATTTCTTAAATTAACTATTTATCAGAACTGTGAACAAATTTGTTCTTTTGAGCTTTCACAAAATGGTGGCTGTTTATTTAAATAGATAGGTCTATTCAAATTCACAGCTCTGATAATTTCCACTACAGAATACTTATTTCCGGAATCAACCATAGTTACTACAGACCTAAGAGTATATTATTTTTCAGAATAGTGGAAAATTGTACTTATGGCTTGTAAAAATAGAACCTCATAGTTTTTTTAATGGAAAAATATGACTGGAAAGTACAATTCTTTAAGATTAATTTCTAAACTCAGAAGTGAGATCACACTACGATCACTTGGCATGTATCTATCTAATCTTTTTCTGGGCAATAACTACCTTGACTGGGTGAAGAATAAATCTTCTCAGATGCATATTCATTTCTTCTTAAGTGAAATTTGAGTTAGGGGTAAGTTACTATTTATCATATGGAATCTGTATTAGTTTTCTATTGCTGTACAAGGTACCACTTCGTGAATAAAAGCAATAGACATTAACTATCTTATAGTGTCTATGGGTAAGGAAGGTGGACACGGCTTAGTTGGGCCTTCTGACTCTGGGTCTCTCACAAGGCTGCAGTCAAAGTGTTAGCTGTGGCTGCTGTATTCTTAGTGTTTTTAATGCTTGACTAGAGGTGGATCCACTTCTATTGTACTCGGAGGATGTTGGTAGGATTTGGCTCCTCTCAGTATGTTGCACTAAGGGCCTCAGTTCCTCTCTGGCTGTTGACTGGAGGCTGCCCTCTGTTCTTGCCACCTAGACCTAACCACTGAGCAGTTCACAACATGGCAGTCTCCTTCCTCACAAAGGGCAAGTCAGAGAGCAAGAGCTAGCGAGCGAGCAAGCGAGAGAGAGAGAGAGAGAGGAAGACCGAAGTCATAGTCTTTCGTAATCTAATCTGACACACCTTTCCATCACTTTTGTCATATTCTATTCATGAGAAACAAGTGGCTGGGTCCAGTCCACACATAATGGGAGGAAATAACAGAAAGATGTGAAAGTCAGCAGGTGGGGATCGTTGGGAACCTCAAAAAGGAGCAGAAGATGCTGTATTTTTAGGTGATTAGTGGGGGATAATCACCACATCTCTTGCCTATTGGCACTTTTACATAGTAACATTTCTACTGTGTCTTCTTTTTTTTATCAGAAGTATCCTTCTGGGCTCATTCATCCATTCAACAGGAAGGCTGACAGTACAGCTTTTAGGTGATTGGAGTCCAAAAAGCCTGCTGGCCAGGTTGCTATATTACAAACCTTTTCAGTTGTACCACCTTTTATGTGTGTTTGAAACTTTCCATGCGTTTGGTCAGCCTGATTATTTCTTTGTTTGGAAAAAGTGAGATAACTCATCTGAGGTGATGTTTTTTTTAATACTCACAGGGGAAAACATATTTATTATTTCACTTTGAAAGTTTTCTTTTATTTTTTAAAATATTTGTTTTATTTTTGAGACAGAGATAGAGTGAGAGCAGGTGAGGGGCAGAGAGAGAGGGAAACACAGAATCTGAAGCAGGCTCCATGCTCCAAGCAGTCAGCACAGAGCCCGATGCAGGGCTCGAACTCACGAACCATGAGATCATGACCTGAGCCAAAGTCCGACGCTCAACTGACTGAGCCACCCAGGAAACCCTGAAAATTTTCTTTTCTTTTCTTATTTATTTAAAATTAATGTTTATTTATTTTTGAGAGAGAGTGAGCGAGCACGAATGGGGGAGGGGCAGAAAGAGAGAGGGAGACACAGAATCAGAAATAGGCTCCAGTTTCCAAGCTATCAGCACAGAGCTGATGCAGGGCTGGAATTCATGAACCACGAGATCATGACCTGAGCCAAAGTTGGACCCTTAACTAACTGGGCCACCTGGGCACCCCTGAAAAATTTCTTTTTAAAGTAATTTCTTCTATAATTCTGTGACTTGTGTTGGAAAAATGACCATACTCACTTTTGGCTTCATCAGAGTAAAATCTGGCCACTTGAAAATTAAGGTTGAGGCTCAATATCTTTCATAATTTAAAGAAAAATTTTCAAACTTTACTTACAGGTAAAATTGCAGTGAATGGTGGGTTTTCAAAAAGTTACCAGTGCCAGAATCTGTTTAATACTTGAAGCTGTAAAATTGAGATACGGTCATGATTTTGACATGTTTTCTAAAAGGTTTTGGGGTATTCAATGTTTAGCTAGTGGTACATTTTGTCAAAGTATCATGATTGTTTTTCGCATTTCTCAATTGCTCGTTTC